AAAAAAAAAAAAAAAAAAAAAAAGTGATTCGAAAGACAAATCTTTCGGTTCGACTTGATCGCGATTTCAAACTGCCAGGAAAAGAAATGGTGGATTACATTGCCGATTATCTGGCGAACATTCGATCACGACGCGTTTACCCGGCGGTTTCCCCGGGTTACCTGAGAAACGTCCTGCCCACCTCTGCGCCAGTGGATGGCGAACCTTGGGAGGACATATTCGCGGACATCGAAAGGTGCATCATGCCAGGAGTGACGCATTGGCAGAGTCCACACATGCACGCCTATTTCCCAGCCCTGAATTCACCTGCTAGCCTGCTGGCCGATATGCTGGCCGACGCAATCAATTGTCTTGGATTTACTTGGGTAAGAACAATAATGTGAATATCACACGCTCGCCGAGCGAAATGGTTCAAGTTTATTATAGCTTTCTCCCGTTCGACTTCAAACTTCGTCACGCACGTCACACACCCGACGTATTTAACGATATTTTATTATATTAGACAGACTTTTCAATGCGGCGCGAGTTAAGCATTAAAGGAAGAAAATTGAAATAGATTGCAGATCTTTCGCGATGAATGTAAATCGTGCACCTCGTTTTCGAAGTTTTAGTAGATACCTGACAAGCTAAGTTCAGAAGTCGCGCTATTCAAATTCGACGTTTTGTCTGCGCTGCTACTACTACCCCTGTGATATGAGTTCCCATCGTCGATTCTTGATAAGAGAGGTCTTTAATCACGCGCTCAATCTCTGAGAGAAGTCATTTACACCTCTAGTAACGTTCTAGTTCTAACTACCGACACAATTACCGAGAGATGCGTTTCTCTTTCATTTTTACGTGCTTCATGTATTTCCTCAAGGCCTCGAGTCCTGCGTGCACGGAACTAGAGACGATCGTAATGAACTGGCTTGGGAAAATGATTGGCTTGCCAGAGGAGTTCCTGCATCGTCCAGGAGGATCCGGAGGTGGTGGCGTGATACAGACAACCGCATCAGAAGCCACCCTCGTTTGCTTACTCGCAGCAAGAACCCGAGCCATTAGAGACGTGCAACAAAATGAGCCGGACCGTTTACCCGCCGAGATTAATTCGCGTCTTGTCGCGTATTGCTCCGACCAGGTAGCTAGCATTCCCGCTTTAAATCTTTCCCTTACACGAACTGATTTTCCTAAGAGTATTCTCTCTCCGTCAAGTTTCTTACTCTCCTGCGAATTCACTACTCTTGCACTCTCAAAAGCAATTCCATCCGTTCATCGCATAATTATTACGCATTTATCTACGTCTTGCTTTAACGTCGTTCCACTTCTATTGCATATATATTGTTCTTTAAAATTTTTTTCCTCGAGGAAATTTCATTGTTTTTCCTCGGAAATGTGTTGTAGGCTCATTCTAGCGTAGAAAAAGCTGGATTGATAGGACTAGTGCGAATGAAGTACATCGAATCTGACGACGAATTGAGTATGAGAGGAGAGACTTTGCTCGAAGCGATAACGAACGACAGGGCCGAGGGTTTACTCCCCTTTTTCGTGAGTATCAACTGTTCGTATCTCACAATTCACATTTCGATAAGATAATTTAAACAGAGGAAGAATGTCATATCTGAAGAACATGCGTGACCAATATTACGCAACACCGTATTAAAACCGAAACGGAAATTCGCAGGAAAATGCTCGTACTTTTCCTACCCAATTAACGTTATCAAAGTAAATAGCGATACTACGGTAGAAAATAATCGGCCCGTCAATTAAGCTTGGCATTTGTTAGTAGCTAAAGTAGAGAACCGGGTGGACATGACGTAACAAGGCGGATTGTACTTTTCCTAGTTGGTCCCCGAGGACATCGACTAGCGTTGTCTTTCATTTTTCAAGACAATAAATCCAACGCACCGGGGAAAACTAGGTTTCATCACGACGCAGCTGTTCAAACGGAAGAAATTTTACAATGATACTAGAACTCGCGATCGAGCTCGATCGAAACATCATTTCTACGTTGCTTGAATTTGGACCGACTCGAAAACCAAATTTCTTTAACGTTTGTTTTCGTTCGTTTGTCAAGGTCTGCGCCACTTTGGGTACAACGGGCGCCTGTGCTTTTGACAATCTCAAAGAAGTTGGT